ACTGCCGACTCCTTCAATGTGTGATCCACTTGAACCCCCAGAAGTTTTTCTGCAGTCCTGCTGCCTAGCCAGTGATTCCCTATTTCATAGTTGTACATTTGATTTTTCCTTCCAAAGTGCAGCACTTTGTCTTTATTGAATGTCCCCTTAAATTGATTTTAATCCTTCCTCCCTCCGCCCTGTGTCTGTTGTGTCTATTTAGACTGTAAACGCCCTGGGACAGGGACTGTCTCTGTCTGTGTGTCTGTGCAGCACCCAGCATGTTGGGCCCTGGTTTTGCCTTGGGCCTCTAGGCACTGCCATAGTGCTACTGATAATAGCCCATTATAAACTCCTTAGAGCTGGGAATGTCTCTTCCATCATATCTCCTGCCACGCCCAGCACACGGATAGAGCTCACTGCATAATAAGAAACAATTAACAAACAGCTCATTGAATAGTCATCAGATGGCCCTGACTTTCCATCCCTATCAACCTAGGTGAGTTTGGAGTCTATGACCTAGAAATGAGAGACTCATCCTCCATCCCCAATCTCCTGAGGTCTCCATTTCACCAGCTACACTACAAATCAATACCCTGTCTGTAGGTCAATAACTCTTTTCTCAGGCTGCTCTATTCTGGAGTCTAGTCAGAATGACAACAGCCCCAAGATCAGATTTAACAGAGGGAGATTGGGAACCAGTCCCACACTCTGCACTGCTGGACCGTGGGGAGCCAGGTCTCATGTCCAAAATCCCTTCCCTGCATTGGGGAGTGAAAGGGAGAGTGAGAAGGAGCCACCTACCTGCTCAAGGTGCCTTTGATGTCCTAGAGGAGAAAGATAAAAGGAAATTCAGTCCCGTCTCTCATACTAAGGATCCCTCCTGCTCTGGAAGGGACTCACTTTGTCTTCATAACTTGAGGTTCAAAGTGAAATTATTTGTTATTTATTAACACAAACAAAAACTTTGAATGTGTTGCCTTTGCTCCTTTGGAAAAGTGCTGTAAGTTCAGGATCTGGGCCCAGGAAGTTTCTATGTGGAAGCACACTAGCTCTTTGAACAACCACCCAGCACATGGAATCAGAGGGCTCAGTCTAGTGATGAATGAGGTTTAATATCACTCTGGATTCTGTGTTATCCATAGCAATAGCTGATCACTTTGAGTTTTGCTAAATGCTGGGTCTCAACGACATCTGGTGGCAGTGAGTTCCGCAGTCTAATTACGTGATGTATGAAAAAGTGTTCAGTGGATCAGTTTTGAATTTGTCACCTAATTTTATTGAATTTCCCTTTGTTCTTGCATTATGAGACAGGGAGAACAGAATTTGGAGTTTGCCATTTCTGGAGGAGTCTTCTCCGACTAGAATTCAAATGCAATTTTTTTTTCCATTTAGGGCTTGATCCAATGCCCATTGTACTCAAGAAATATATTTCCATTGACTTTACTGGGAATTTTATCAACCCCTTCAGGAAAAATAATGTATATTTTAGCAATACTGTATGTTTGACCATTCACTCCTACACTCCAAAAGTGAAGGGTTAGGAGACTTTCTTGCCCTGAGAAAGGTTCTGGGATGTTTCTAACACCGTCTCACCTGCAGGAATTCACATGCTGGCAGCTGGCACTTCTGCTCCATCTCACTGATCAGGGAACTGAAAGAAGATATTTCCTCAGACAGTTTGGCAACATACTCAGCCCTCCTCTTTTCAATTTCCTGATTCAGCTCTTCCAGCTGGGCCAGCAGGAGTCGCTCTTGTTCCTCCAGAAACTGACGCAGTTGCTGAAATTTAGCCACAATCTTCTGCCTCCCAGTTTCCAGCTGTTTCTGAAATGAAAAAGAGACAAACAGGGAAAGCACAGGCCAAGGACAGGAACACGGAGTGAGTTATGGGACATTTTGTAAAGCCTTATGTATGCACACGGGAGCATGTCATTGCAACCCCAGAGAATTTAACTCCTGATATTTTATGGAGAACACACTCTATGCTCAATAGACAGATGATTTTACAATGGATTTTCAAGAATCCTAATGGGTGTTTAGAATATGAATGTATCTTGCATTATTAGGATATTCTGTTATCAGTGGCATCTAGGAAACCAGATCCTTCAAACAACAGAAAGTACAGCAGGTGTGGGATCCAGGACTGGACAGGCAAGGTTACTTCTGGGGAGCAAACAGCAGAACCCAAATTCAGAAGCGCTAGACTTGAACTGGGGAACAGAGGCTCTCCACAAAATACACCTAGTGAATAGGGCCATGTTTCTAAAACAGGATTTAAAATTAGAGCAACAATTGCTCTGATGAGTTTTGAATGCACAGTTTAGGATATATACATTTTGTCACATCATAAATCTCCAATTTTATCCACAGAGGGATTCTGAGCACAAACTGGGTGGCTGGCAAGACACCTTTTTGCAGGTTCAAATCTGAGTTTTCAGGGCACTTAGAAACGTGTGCATATGAACTGGACAGAAGCCCACCAATTCATGCCATTTCTGGAGCACTCTAGCTCCTGATACCCCAGGAGCAAGAAACTTACATCATATTTAGAACCCAAATCTTCTTCACGGCAACGTCTAGCAGCGATATCACTAGGGCCTGTTCCAAAGCTCACCACAATCAATAGGAGTCTTTCCAATGACTTCAGTAGGGTTTGGTGAGGTGTTAAGTGACCAGCCTTCCCTGGGGCAGCAGATTTCTCTAGTGGCTGCCCGCGCTATTCTGTTGTGGTTATTGTTCGAGGCTTTTCCCTTAGCCCCGCCCCTGGTTCTTGTCACGCAGACAGAGAGCAGGAGACCAAAAGTCTAAAGCGCAGGCAATGCGATGTTTGCTGGGGTTAGTTCCAAGCAAGGATATCCATAGCTCTACACACCAGCAGAGCCTTTACCCCGCGTCCCCCTTCCCGGCTCCGACGCTGCAGAGCCCTTACCCCGTGACCCCGTTCCCAGCTCCGACGCTGCAGAGCCCTTACCCCATGTCTCCCTTCCCGGCTCCGATGCTGCAGAGCCTTTACCCCGTGACCCCGTTCCCAGCTCCGACGCTGCAGAGCCCTTACCCCATGTCTCCCTTCCCGGCTCCGATGCTGCAGAGCCTTTACCCCGTGACCCCGTTCCCAGCTCCGACGCTGCAGAGCCCTTACCC